GGCAACATGCAGTCATCAGTTTCCATTGGCCTCAAAGTAAAAACACACAAACCTGCTCCAGACACAAACACACACACGCACACTTTGCTGGCTGAACCGGTTCTATGTTAACACACACATATATAGACGCACACGTACAGTGCATACAGACACACACACTGATGCTGGGCAGACGAGCAGTGAAAAGTGGCATCATATTGACTCAGAGGAGAAGGGGATCCTCTGATTGGCCTAGACAGTTAATGGGCAGGAGCTTTAGAACAGCCAGGGTTCAGACTAGTTAGTGTGAAATAAAAACTACCCTAACAAACAACTACGTATCCCAGAATTCAAGCTATACACAGAACTACACATAAAGCTCATACATGATAAAACCCACACTTTCATTCTGCTCTCTTAGCGGACTGATTCCCTCACTAAAGCAGTATTTTTCATCACAGAAATCTGAATAACTTGGTCCCAATGGCATGCAAACCAGTTTCACAAATATTAAAAAGCAACTACACGACAACAAGAGGTGATCATTATCAGCTGGTCATATTTCCTCCTTGAATTTAGCTTTTTTTAATGTCTTAGACCCAATTTTCCCTTTTAATTAGTATCTTTAAAACTAAAAAACAAGTGTCTTATTCCCTTGTGTCTGACATATTCTGTACTAGATTGTTTGAACTCTTAATTGGGAAATATTCAAAGCCAAGAACTATTCTAAATGTGCTGTGCAGCTTTTCATGCACATTTCCCCAGAAATTCAGCCTGATTTTCCAGAGTCACCAGTTGAAGACGCTGTAAGTGATTGCGGCCCGCCATACATCAACACCTTATTTTCTGCCAAGGTTCGAGCAACACTGGTTATTTAACATGAGACATTCGTTTTTGTCTGTGCTCTTGGTGCTAATTTGAAGTGGGTTGTGTTGGAAAAAGGAGATGCCAGGGAGTTCCATGAACCAATCAGGATGTATGAATCAAAATCTGGTTGCGTGCAATCAAATCTAATTTGCAGTTATTGACTGTTAAACTCTTATTAAAGCTCACATTTTGCTTATTTAGCCACAAACATTTAACGTTATGGAGAAATTCTTTGAAATTTCCTGCATCACAAGACAATTCGAGCTGTCGCTCTAACAGCTGAGAAAAATTGAGCATTGTGTATTGCTTCCTGGTTAATGACCCTGTTTCTAAATGTCGAGGCGAAACACACACTAAGCCACACAAAGCTACACAGAACAGCCGCTACTCTACAGTTACAACACGAGACAGGTCATTCTACACATCTGTTCATGCAGTCTATTGTAGCTAACTAACTACTGCACACTTAACAGAATATCTGTCCTTGTTAATGCACGATTCCCTGCAAAAGCCTCTGGAGATTTATTTATACACCAGCAGCTACACATGCACACACGCACATAATATATAAGCTACCACAGGCACACAAACAGCAGATCACACACCCTCTCATACCCTGCCTCAGTCACGCAGTGAGTTATTGTTATTGTTGTGTACTACAGAGGCTTGACTGTATTTACACACCCAAAATTGACATGTTTGCCCAGTGTGTGCGTCTGTGCTGGCATTGACTGTATGTACTGTATGTGTGCGTTTCATGCATGTGTTGAATGAAGGTGTAATTCTTTTTTGTTTGTGTGTACGTGTGTGTTTGTGTGTGAGGTTTCCCTATAGGTTGGTAGGCGTAGGGGCGGTAACACCAGGGTTCATATCAGGACGACACTAACACACAGGTGAGGCGAGGGTAAGACGGCAGTGGAGGAAAAGCTACAGGCTGCAGAAGGTCAGAGGGCAAGGGGTGAGGACAGGTGGCTGCTGGGGGTGAGGGGGGAGGCATCACGGAGTGACGAGGCAGAGGGGGAGATAGGGGCTGAGGTGCGGCATCCGGAAGAGTCTGTTTCAGTTGATTTTGGTTCTGTAAAGTCACAAAAAAATATGTTGAACATCTGGAGTCTGGTACAGCGAGGCGAGGGGAGCGAGGGGCTGCCGGAGAGCACGGGAGAGGAGGTCCTGAAGACGACTAATACCCCTGGTAGAAAAGAAGGAAACAAAGATGGAAACACATCAGTGGTGGAGCAAGTATTCAGATCCTTCACTTGAGTCAAAATAGCAATATCACAATGTAATAAAAAAATAGCCCATTACAAGTTAAAGGGGCACAATACACATCAAGATCAG